TACCCCACGACTGTCCTACAGAAAGCCCTCTGCCTTTCTAGGCTTCCCGAACACACCACGTGCTCCCCCTTCTTCCCTCCACTCTGCCTGGAGTCCCTCAGCCTCTACTTCCTGTCTCGGGAACTCACTTGGTACTTACTCCCACCCTTGCCCTGAGACACTGCTTGTCACACTTTGCTACCTAACAAGGTATACACTTGGCATCCCCTGGCTGAGCAGAGGAGTGAGGATGAGGGTTCACGGCGAGTCTGCTGCATCCACTTTGCCGTGACACCAACCAGAACCATCCCATTCACCCAACATTTACAAACTAAGTGTGCTTAGCGACAATGACAACAGAATTCTCCGAGAGCCCCCTTCCCAGGCCTGCCCTTTCCTCCCTTGGGGGCAAGTCTGGGATTACAGCCACTCAAGCCCAGAGGCCCAGTCTTGCCTATTTCTTTGTTTAAGGTTCTTGGCAGCCTCACAAAGCCAAGCCAGTCCTGCAGGCAATCCACAGAAAGCTTCTAAGGCCCCATCTACACTTGGAAAGAGCTAAGCTCCCAGGCCTACAGAAAGCCCTGGACTATTCTTGCACTCAAACATGGCTGCATGAGGGCAGACGGAGCAGAGGCAACCAGAAGTGAGTGACCATCAGAGATAAAGGACAGAGGAAAGGGCCAAGGACCCCGAGCATGGCTGGGGGACGAGGGAGACAGAGAGGAGACCCAGACACCTGTGGCCACGAGGTGGCAAGGCCAGGGGGAGTGGATTCCGGGCCTACAAGACAGATGGGTGTCCATGCTGGAGTCCCTCTGCAGAGGGAGGCCAAGAAGTGACCAACGGAAGGGTGGAAGCAGAGCCGCCTTCTGTCCAGGGCCATATGGGGCGGGACAGGGCACCCACAGTGATGTGTCGGGACACTGCCATTTGCCTGAAGAACAGTAACAGAAACAACTGGAAGCAAGACACAGCTGTGTTTCTCAGGGGCCTGATGTGGCACTCTGCCCTTCCTGCTCTCAGGGTCACAGCGTTTGACTGGCTTTGGGTCGGGGCCCTTGATCCCTGTGCAGCTCGCCCTCGAGGGTTTCCACCGTACCTTCACAGGTGCCAAGGGACACCCAAACGCGGTCTCTCAGCCTCCCCCCCAATTCCGCGCTTCCAGCCTTTCCTGAGGCCCTGAACCTAACCGCTATGCATCAGAATAGGCCGTCTCCACTAGAGGGCTCCTTTCAAGGCCAACACCCTTAGACGGTCCTTCCTTGTTTGCCCCTGAAGTAAATGAACGCAGTCACGGCAGTTCACCAGTTAAACGGCTCTTGAAAGATGTCCAAAGTTTCAAAGGACAAATGGTCCAAAGGCCCAGATGTGCTATGGGCTGACCCAGTGCCCTGCAGGCTCGCCTTTGAAGCAGAAGACCAGCCCAGAAGTGCCGAGGGGCCGGTGTCCAGGGCAGTTCTTGGGAGGACATCCCCGCGAGTTGGAGCTTCTACATTTCAGTCGTCGGTCAGAAAGCAAGTGTGGGCCGTCATCGCAGTTCCCCACACAGCCAGAGTGTGGAGCCCAATTCTAAGGCCTCGCAGAAGGAAAACCAAAACGGAGCACGAAGAGATTACAAAACCTTCCCTGGGCTAGAGGAAGAGAGCAAAAACTTTTAAGATAAGCTTTGCTAACTGCAGCTGTGCATACGCAGCATAATCAACTGTTGTTCAAAACTAACCAGGTCTTTCTGTCCCTCCTTAGTGTATGAGAGAGCTGTCTTTCCCCGGAAATCAAGGTCCAGACATCAAGATTCAGCCTCACAAGGCCAAACGCAGGCTGAAGATGAAAACTAACCAGAAAAGTCCAGACAGTCAAGGCAAAGAAATTCAGTCTCCAAGGCCAAACGCAGGCTGGTGGGAAGGCGCCAACCAGCAAGGCCACGTGCTACTCCTCCCCTACCTAAAACCCCAGCACATGCTCCCCCTTGAAACCTTTAAAACCTCTTGCCTCCTATCTTTCCGGGAGATGGGACAAATTTGAGAGCTCTTGTCTCCCGGCTGAAGTCACCCGAAATAAAAACTCTTTCCTTGCCATAAGCCTGGTGTTCCAGTTTTATTTGGCTCCTCTTGTGTGGTGGGTAAAGAACCTGGGTATGTAGCTGGTAACAAAACCATAGGCATCCTCTCAAGCCGCTCTCTGACCTGTATTCCATGCAAGACCCGTTCAGCTCCTGTCCCGTACCTGCTTATCATATCCAAAAGGAAATGGTACTCATAACTGCACTGCTGCAAAACGCTAACGAAGAGGAGGAAAATTGGACCGAGACCTGAGAACCAACAAACCAAAAGATGCATTGCTACTTGAAATGTCACTTGTCTGGGCAAGCATTTGGGGATCCTGGAGCTTTCCAGGGCATTCCAAAACCAGAGAGCAAGTGCCCAGCACCTCTCCGGGCAAACCCACTTTCTGCTGAAAACATCTGGACATCCGCCCACCCCGCACCTAGTCATCTTCAGGTGTGGGTCCCAAGATGAAAACAGGAGCTCACGTTAAAAACTGAGTTAGCTTATCCAGTAGAACCAATGGGAGGACGTTACACTGGGGAGATACAACTCTTCTTTATTAAAGAAGATTTATTAAACGTTACTGACTCGCCTGTAGGAGCGAAATCACTCACTTACTAGAGTGATGGAAATGGACATCAGAGCACACGGATCTGCGCTCTTCCCGGTTTCCATCACGTGGCACTTGTTGCCTCAATCCCGGTCAGGCCACAGTTGAACAAAACGAGAATAGAGCCCAAGCACATGGCATCCTGCCACTCTCCCCTGCCCTCCATGGGGATTGGTATCCTGAATCCATGCCAGCCCTAGCCAAGATTGTCTGCACCTCCGAAAAACACACACCTCCCCACGACCTCTCCACGGACTTCAAAGACACCCTTCCTAATACTTCTTTTTCTATTGGAAAACCCAAAGTTGCAAATACTTTCAACTTCCTCAAGGTAAAGCTAGAGCCAACTATGATCTAGAACGCAGGTTCAATGTGCTAAGGGGGCAACATTGACTTCACAAGCATTTACTGAGTGCCAAGCACTGGGCTTGGAAACTAGGGCCCCAAAGACGAGCATGACGCGCAGAGCAGAAAGCCGTCAAAGCACACAGGGATGTGGACCCAGAGAGGGAGGCTATGAGGTAAGAGCAAGTCACAAGAACTCTAGAACTTTCCCCAAGTCCTAAGTGTGTAGACTCATTTTAATCTATCCATGTAAATCATGTCTCTCTCGTGCTCCTGCAGTCTCCTGGCACTCGGAGCTCCAGTAGCTGCACAGTCCTGTGTGTCTGGGGATTCCCACACTGTCCTGGCGGGTCTTTGGCCCTCCCCCATCTGTCAGGGAGGGTGCACACTCCTTGGAGGCCCCAGGGGGGTTCTCCAGCACCACCTGCCTGCCCTCGGGTAGTTTGTGTGACAGAGCCAGAGCCCCTGGGAGTGAAGAGGGCTGGAAGCATGTGGCAAGCCGACCAGGACACTGGGCTGAGAGCACCAAAGGGCAGAACTCCCAGGCCCAGCTCTGGGGACAGCATGGGCAGAACAGGTCACAGCCTGCCAGCAGCTGGCCCCCGGCCAGCGGGAGCTTTCTCTTTGAGAACCTCTTAGTCTCAATAGCAGTAAAGTGCCATTTGAAGGGTCCACCCTGTCTCTGCAGAGCTACAGGGGAGGAGGGAGAAGAGGGGCCAGGCTTGCCACCACACTAATCAGGTGTTGGGACTGGGGCGGCCCCCTTTCTCCTGGCTGAGGTCCTCTCAGAGGGTTGGGGGGATTCTTAGATAAGGAGAGATTGCCTGACACTCTCATATGGAAAAAATCTCTATCTTCAACTTACATTACCCTGGACACAAAAACATTCAGACCAACTGAACCTCCAATATTTGAAGGACTGTCATGTGAAAGACAGATCCCATGAGAGAGCCGTTACTGGGCACTCTCTGTGCAAATACCCAAGCTGTCTTCCTTTCCTCCTGATTGGCTCCAGCCACAAGGAGCTTTAGGCACTGAGGGTGGGAAGGAGGGGCAGAGAGGCCAGGGTGGCTTTTGCTGGTGGGGTCTGGGGGGCAGAAGGCAGCGGGTGGGGCAAGCCCAGGGGCCTGTTGTGCAGGGAGGAGACCAAAGGCAGCAGGGCGGCCCGTGGCAGAGGCTGCCATGCTGCCATGACTTGCCTGGAGCCCACTCCTAGGAGGGACCAGAGCGAAAGGGCTGAGAGTCCCTGGGCCTCATCCTCTTCATCGGGCCCAGGCCACCATCCTCCAGAACTCTCCAGCTCCGAGAAGATGGGGCCTGGGCACTGCTCCTCCCGGAAGCAGCTGGGGGCGCCCACGGAAGGCTGTGGCTTTCAGGAATATGGACCAATGGCCTGGAAAAGGAATGGGCCACTGCTGAGCATGAGATCAGGGTGTCCTGTGCCCTCCTATGGAGCAGCAGGCTCCTAGAGGAGACGCCACTTCCTGAAGGCTGACAATGTGGGCACGAGCAGTCCACGAGCGCATTTGCCTGAGTCCATTTTCAGACCGTTTCTTGAAGAATTTGAGGTGATGTCACAGTCAAGCCACAGCCTAGTCGTAGAGCCCACAATTTGGAATTCCCTCAAGTTCCCTCTGTTTATAAGCTCTTAAAGGATTAAAGTGCTTTTAGTGTCTTCTATCTGGAAACACTAACAAGTCTTGGGGTGAAGCGAACAACCCATGCGGGGCAAGCATACATTCAGCAGCCCCAATATGGAATACAAATCTGCTCACACGGCAGCTCCACACGCTGGCACACATGCCTGTGCACACACGACAGTGGCCGGCCATGCAGGGCAGTCTCTATGCCTCGATTGCATCATTAAGGACCAAAGAGGGGGGAGCGGGAGGCCCTCATTTGAAACCATGCCCTCCCGAAGACAGCCCATGTCAGACTGCACTGGGGGCAGCCGCGCGTTTGGAGTCTATCCAGTGTCTCTCGTCCTCAGGGCAGGGCTCTGCAGGGGGTCTCCTGAGGGCCTAGGAGGCTGGCCCTTTCTCGCAGTCGCTCCCCACCAAGGGCCTCCTTCCACCACGAGTTTTCTGATGGTGGCTGAGCTGCGACTCCCCCTTGAAGGCCTCGCCACACTGGCCATGCTCGCTGCGGGTGCAGGGCTCCTGGCTGCTGTGGGCGCACCGGCCCTCGGCCTTCCCGCCCCAGCCGCGCCCCCGCCGGCGCTCCAGGAGGACGAAGCAGTCTGCGCACTCGTGAACCGCCTGGTGCTTGAAGAGGTTGGCGCGCCTGCTGAAGGCCTTCCCGCACTCACTGCACTCGTAAGGCCTCTCGCCACTGTGCACCCGCCGGTGCTGGCTGAGGCCTGAGCGCCCCCGGAAGGCCTTCCCACACTCCTTGCACTCAAACGGCTTCTCCCCGCTGTGGACACGCTGGTGGTGAATGAGCTGGGAGACGCCCTTGAAGGCTTTTGGACACTGGCTGCAGGCGTAGGGCTTCTGGCCGCTGTGGGTGCGCTGGTGCTCGATGAGGTTGGAGCTCCTGCTGAAGGCCTTCCCGCAGTCGCTGCAGGCGTAGGGCCGTTCGCCGCTGTGCACACGCCGGTGCTCCAGGAGCGCGAAGCTGCGCCGGAACAGTTTCCCGCACTCTGGGCACGCGTAGGGCTTCTCGCCGCTGTGGATAATCTGGTGCTTGATGAGGTTGGAGCTGCGCGTGAAGGCCTTGCCGCACTCGCTGCACGTGAAGGGTTTCTCACCGCTGTGGATGCGCTGGTGCTCCAGGAGGGCGAAGCTGCGCCGGAAGAGTTTCCCGCACTCTGAGCACTCATAGGGCTTCTCGCCGCTGTGAATTATCCGGTGCTTGATGAGGTTGGAGCTCCGGCTGAAGGATTTCCCACACTGCTGACACAGGTACCGCTTCTCTGCACCTTGGGAGCACTGTTGCCTTAGCACAGGATCCTGACTAGTGCCGAGGTCATTTCTCTGCAGGATCTCTCTTCCCTCGCCAGAAGAGCTGCCTGGACCTTTCTCCCTCGGATGGTCACCCCTGCTGGAACCTGTTTGTGGAGAGAGAGCATGTTTCTGTCTGTGCTCCAGCGTTCCGTCCAGTAGCCTGGCTACCTGGCCCTCATTGCTGCTCTGAAGATTGGCCCCTGTGAGTTCTTTTGGACAATGTTTCTGCTTTGAAATCGACATCTTGCTTTTTATCCTGTCACCTGTAAAGACAAAGAGCACCAACCAGTGTCACTCCCTCCCTGGGTCTCTATTTAGGGTTTGTTCTTCATCTTCACCCTCAAGTCAAGGCTGAAAAGAGATGAATCAGGACACCAGGACATGGGGGAAGAAGCAAGATGATCACTGGCAGACAGGAGAGCAAGAGGGGAGGAGGTGGTAATGAGCTGGAAATAGCAGAGCTGGTGGGAGACAGCAGGAGGCACTCCCTTCATCTGGCACCTTGACAGGGAATTCCATGGGAGATGTAAATCTGCCCCGAAAGAGAATTTCCCACCTAAAGTGACCATGCCACCCTCCGTTGGCCACTGCTCTTTGAAAATGGCTCAGGCAAGCCGGCTGAGTGCCCCTCACTCACCTGCTTGCATACCTGTGGCGGCCCCCATCCTGCAGATGTCTGTTACCCAGGGCTCCTGCCCTTGCTCCAGCCGGGAGACCAGGTGAGGCTTGGAGGATGAAAATCCTGTCCATGGAAATGAAGCAGATGAGTCACTCCTGAACTCAGCCCAGCCTTACTATCTTCAGGAACAGCAAAGAACTCACAGCAGCATTGCGTCCCACATCCTTGTTGCAAACCACAGTGTCTGTGCCCAGTCGTGAGAGGGAGCCACAGGGGTGCCTTCGCCAGCCCAGAACTGCGACGTGGTATTATTTGGCCTGCAGGGAGGGTGGCAGGCTTGTGGGAAATAAGGGATCTGTGTAGAGACCCCAAGGGACAGACAAAGGGCTGGAGCAAGGATCTACAGGGGGCGAGGCCCCAGGGAGTCTCAGGAATCAGAAAAAGCCAAGGGGCTGCCTGTGCCCCAAAAGCTGAAGCCCCCTGTTTCACCATCAAACAGAGCAGATGTCTCAGTCCCTTATGCCAAACTCAACTGAGGATTCCAGAACTCCCCTGTGAATCCCAGATCTGCCTGGTGAGGGTCAGAAAGAACCAAAGGGAAGAAGCTAGTCTCTCTCTGTGGGGTGAGATTACAGAGGTGAGATCTGCAGAGCCCAAAAGGAGAAATGGAGTGAACGGATCCCCTGCAACCCGAAGGCAGTGGGGTGCAGCAGGGGTGTCTGCCCCAGCTCCTTCCCGGATTTCTCCAGGCTGGAAGACCAACTGCATGCCTGCTCCTGGGACTCTGTGTCCCGAGCCCTCTGTGGCTTGATGCAAAGAAAAGGTGCTTCTAAACTCTCTAACATGAAACGAATGTAAAATGCAACTTTGGTACAAATGAATTAAGACTAAAATAGTGCATACAAATATTGGAGGACAATTTGCATCTATCTTTTGGGTAGAAGAGGTTTAGTTAACCCATGATTTTATATGCAAAGCAGGTTTGACATTTACCTAAAACATTTAGCTAAAAACTGTGCTATTGAGACAAAAGCTGGGCTACACTGGATTACTGATCTGATGGGGAAATGCATTTCTTCTTGGGCTCACAGTAACCAAGAAGCAAAGAAACCCAGAAATAAATTGAGTTCAGAGGCAGAGCAGGGGGACTGTGTGTGTGACAGGGGTCCTTACCCAGTGACACCAAATGGCGGTAGTTCTCCAGCATCACTTGCTTGTAGAGGATCCTTTGTCTGAGATCCAGAAGCTTCCATTCTGTCTTGGTGAAGTACACGGATACGTCCTCAAAAGATACTGGCACCTAAAACGAGCCAATCCTGTGGCTGCAGGGGAATTCACCCCCGTGGGTCCCAGGATGAGCTGGCAGCAATTAAACATGAGGTGGGGGAGCCACAGAGAGCTTGGCAGCTGGGGAGGCTCAGAATTGCAAGAGTTGTGAGGCAGGGACATGAGGAGGCGGCAGATGGAGACTGCTAAGGGGAGACACTGAGGCCAGGGGCCGCCCACAGTCTGGGAGCCCCACTCACCTTGGGTCTGGCCATGAGGAGAATGGCTGCCATCGCAGAGGCACAGAGAAGCTAAGGGAAGCGGAAAGATCCAGGTGTGAGCTGAGGCCCACCCTACTCCAGTATAACCTCATCCAAATAAGGTCCCGTTCACAGCCACTGGGGGACAGGACTTCAACAGATCTTTTTTGAGGGGGGTACAATTCAACCCACAACTCTTTCCCCAGCTGAGCTTCTGTCCCCTCTCCTTCCCTGTGTAGTGGGCCCCAGACAGGGACTGGCTCCCTCCTCACGCTAGGCTCCACCAACGAGGCTTTCAAGGGAGTGTGTTTGTTTTCTCCTCTCTTTTTCTCATTTCCTTCGTTCCTCAGCCCTCTTCCCATGTGGGTGGCACCACGACCCCGACTTTCCAACCATCCCTGGAAGCTCCATTGCCGATCCCTTTCCCCCTCAGGTTGGGGTTCTTACAGAAAAAATCCCAATACACACATACCACCTCCACCTGCAAACAGACTTGCTCTCAAGAAGAAGAGAAAGACTCAGCTGGTGAGATGCACAACGGAAGAGCTCACAGTGGCTGGGGGAGGGGTGCTGTTTGAAGGGGTAGCATTCAGGCTGAGAGCTGCAGGCTGGGGGTGAGCAAAGAGAGGGCCCGAGCTCCACGCTCATGGTGCTAAAAACTGGGGGGGGGGTACAGAAGGTGAGGCCATGGGCTCCTCGGGGACAAGTGGGAGCTGGGGCTCACACTAAGGGCAGGAAGAGTGTGTCATTGACAAAGTGGACAGAATCAGATCTCTCCACATCAGTTCTCAGTGCCAGAAGATGGACAGGGGGGTGCAAAAGAAAGTTTGCTCCAAGAATGTTATCTCTATCCTACTGGAGACCACCCTGTGGAAGTCCGGGTGGAGGAGCTGAGGAACCAGGCAGTGGCTGGTGAGGGAGTGGGCCAAGAGCATTCCTTACGCTGCCGTGGGCGACCACAGCTTGTTTGTGCCACAGGAGAGAGGACGAGGGGACGAGGTCCTTGGAGCATTTAAATCATCCCAAAGTCCCTTATCACTCATGACGAGCTGTCAATCAACACTGGCCCACAATAAATAAACTCACATGTCTGACGGAGAAGTTTATATTAATCAGAGAGAAAGAATCCCTTAAGGTGGAATGGACGCTAAAACCACCAGGTGAAAGACGGAGGGAGAACAGACATCTCCATAAGGTCAAAATGTCTTCCCCTGTTTACTGCTGGTCACGAGAGAGAAAGCAAACCTAACGGCGGGACAGAAGTGGGACGTGCCTGCTGTGGGGATGCCGTGGGGAGTGCCGAGGCTGCCCAGGAGGGCTCTTGCCAAAGCTTGACCTGAGGCTAATGCAGCCTTGGGACCCAACGTCCAGTTTACAGAGGATCTCGGGGACAGAGGGCCCAGTTAAAGACACCAGAAGGAAGCAACCAGCCCGATCCAGAAAGTGGGCTCTTCCCCAGTCTCTTCTGCAAATCAGTGTCATGGGGAAATGAAGAGGCTGGGGAGGGAGACTGTTCTAGATGAAAACAGATTTAAGGAGACAACAGCCAAGTGCAATGGGAGTCCTCGATGAGATGCTGGCATGAAGGAAAGAGGAGTCAAAGGCATTGGGGGGCATGGAGGGCTGACTGTGGAGCGCCTCTCAGGACAATGGGGGCCACTGCTGCACATGTGTTGGATGGATAATGGCACTGGGTCGTGGAAGAAAATGTCCTTTTCCAGAGACGCACATTGAAGCATTTGGGGAGAAAATGGCATGTAAATTTACTTTAAAATATTTCAGCATGAACAAAGGAAAGAGAGAAGGGGAGAGAAAGAGAGAGAGAGCGAGAAACAAGCGAGGAAAGCTGGAGGCTGCTGCTAACCCAGGGAGGGGGGTACCCAGGTTTCATTAGACTATTCTCTCTACTTGTCTGGTTGCTTGACAGTGTTCAAAATTAAAAGGGAAAATAGTTTGATGGCTCCTCAATAAGTAAACATAGCTGCCATATGAGCCAGCAGTTCCACTCCTGGGCATTTAGTCAAAGAATTGAGAACAGGTGTTCACATAAAAACTTGCACACCCATGTCAACTGCAGCATGATTCACAGTGGCCAAAAGGTGGAAGCACCCCAAGTGTCCATCGACAGAAGAATGGATAAACAAAACGTGGTTTATCCACATGACAGAATATTATTCGGCCATAAAGAGGAATGAAATCCTGACACACGCTACAATGTGGATGGTCCTTGGAGACATTATGCTCAGTGAAAGAAGCCAGACGCAACACAAAAGGCCACATACCATGCGATTCCATTTCTATGCTGTAAGATAATATTTCACAAGAGCTGTCTAGACCTAGTTTTGAAGTTATGACTAAAAACTCTTTTCTCTGCCCTTCTCAGGCAGTTGGCTAAGCTCCCACCCCAACTACCTCCCTTATTGGGGCCCTCTCTCTGGGGCCACTGGACACACACCCTCAAGCCCCCCTCATCGAGCTGCCACACTCCCGAGCGTGGGGGCAGACAGTTAGGGACAACCTCTCTGCAGCGGAGCCTGCGGAATCATTCCGCAAAATCTCGCTACCCCTACCCAAGGGGCATCCTTAGACCTGAAGGATGATTCCAGGCCCCAGAGCTCAGGTTTCCCTGAAACCCGACACTGGGCACACAGGTGAGGGGCCATCAGCCAGTGCACTGCAGGCAAGGCCCCTTCAGCCTGGGAACCCAGACGCCATCTGCCAGCCTCCTCCCAGGCGGTTCTACCCCAAGGAGGGGAGTAGCCTGCCACGCTGCTTGCTGAGCCTGACCCGGGTAAAGCTGAGTAAGTGGGGAACCCCCCGGGGAGGAGAGGAGCAGAGGGGAGAGCAGTGCTGCCCACTGAAATGAAGCAGGGCCAGAAAGGGAGAGGCAGCCGGTGGGCTTCAGCGCTGCTGCCTTCAAGACACCACGAGATGGGGCTAGTTCCCTGGTAGAAGAATGCAGAAAACAAACAAATAACAACAGGAAAGCCGGTCTGCAACTCCACGCAGGCCGGATCAGGAATGGGGGCTTTTTCATCCACAAGGCGGGACACGGTCAGGCTTCCTCCTTCCCGGTGGAACTTCCTCTGGGGTCCTGCAATTCAAGGCCCCAATTGCCTCCTCTCGGCCCCAGCAGCCCTCCCTGAGGCCCATGTCACCTGCCACCCACTTGGTGGAAAGGCCTGAGGACCCAGGGCCTGGGGAGGCCGGCCTCAGCCCAGAGCTGAGGTCTGGCCCGGGAGCTGCCACAGGTCAGCCCAGGGCCCTCCACATGGCTTGCTCCAGGAAAGCCCTCTGATGAGCAGGGGGCAGAGGCTGACCTGGACATAAACAGGGCCACCTCCTAAGGGGGTTCTGTCTTTCCTATCCTTCTCTGCTCACAGCCCTCCCTGGGGTGCCCATCTCACTCAGAGTAAACCCACATGGCCCTTCCTGACCTGGCCCTCCCCTCCTCCGAGCCCCTTCCTCCCTCTGCTCCAGTCACACTGGCCTCCCAGTTCTTCCTACCACACACCAGGCCACTCCTGCCTCAGGGCCTTTGCACTGGCTGTTCCCTCTGCCTGGAACACTCTCTCACCTCCTTCAAGTTTTTCAGAAATGTCACCTTCTAACTGCACTACTTAAACTTGCAACCTGACCCCTCCTCTCCCTCCTCCTGCTCTATTTTTCCCCATGGCACTTACACCATTTAACATACTCTCTAATTCTTAATTTCTTATCTGTCCTGCCACTGGACTGGACCCCGGAGCAGGATGCAGAGAGCTTGCCGTTTGGTTCCCCGAGACATCTGGCATGCCTGCAGCAGCCTGGCCCATAGCGGGTGCTGGCAGCTATCTGTAGGCAGCCCCAGCACAGCCCCCCCTCGGCTCAGCTCACCTCGCTCCCTCTCTTGCCCTTCCACGGGGCCTTCCATCCTGCCCGTGGTTTCCTCTTCTCATGCCTTCTCATGGTGTGCTCGTCACTGCCAACACCCCAATGCCAAGGGGCACAACCCCCAACCCCTGACAGCTGCAGGAGCACGTCTGGGCGCCCTCAGGGCCTGTGCCCGTGGGAGGGCCACCAGGCGCTCCAGGGCAGGAGTGCCGCGACCTCACAATGCCTGCCTGCCCAGCGCTCCCAGGCGTAGAGGCGCAACATCCAAACTTACCAGGCGGCTCGGCGACAGCGGCGGGATGCTCTCTAGCCAGCCCCAGGGTCAGCGGCGAACCACAGCTGGAGAAGAGAAACTGGGAACAGGGGCTGCTTCTCCCTGGCGCCCAGCCCTGGCGGGCCCCTCTCCGTTGGCGCCCAGCAAGGCGGCAGCCCCGAGGGCCGGCCAGCAGCTCTCCGCGCTCGCCGCCTTCCAGGGCGTCCAGACTGTTGCCACCGCAGCTCCCTCACCACCTCGCCACCTGCCGAGATGGCCCCCGCCGAGGGCCTCCGCGGCCCAGCCCGGCCAGCGTACCCAGGCTCTGCGGACCGCCAGGCTGCCCGTCCCCCAGTCCCCCGCAGGCCCGAGGCCAAGGCCACTGCCTCCGAGAAGCCCTCCCGGGCAGCGCCCCCAGGAGGCGGCGGGGCTCCCGGCCGAGTCTTGACCTCGTTCCTGGGCGCCACTTGGGAGGCACGTTCCGCGGGGCTGTCCATCGGTCTGCCAGGCACAGACTAGCGGGGCCTGGGCGCGAGCGGGGAGCGGGCGGGGCCGGGGCGGCGGCGTGGGAACGGGGCGGGTGGAGGGGGGCACGGAGCATGCGCGGCTCGGCGGGATGGCACTCCGGCCCCCGCCAGCCTGGCGCGCCCCACGGGGGTTGTGGCCTGGCTCCCCGCGCACCCCAGGGCACTTCCACTCTCCAGCACTTCCACTTCCCGTCTGGGCAGCTTCAAGGGCTCAGTCCACCACAGGCCCCCGAGGGGACGGGGGAGGGACAACGTTGATCGCACACCTCCCATGGGTCAGATGCTGGGGCTTCATGTCCATCCAGCAATACGTCCATCCATCTGGGGTCCACTGGACCCCTGCGGGACAGCTAACACCAAGTGGCCTGGCCATGGCCACCCATTAAGAGACCA